TGCTCTTGGAGTGACTCGAACTCACAACCTCTTGGTTGGAAGTGGAGGGTGCTTACCATCAGAACAACCCACATTAATCTCTAAATAATATCCCTAAAAATGGCTATCTATGCAACTACCCAGTTTTTCTTCATTAAAGCCCACACATTAACTGATGTTTTGCACTTTAAAGGCCCAACAATCTTTGACACATGCACTTTTGCTTTTGACTACAGTCAAACCTCTCTATAACAGTTTTATTTGTTCCGAATTTTTTGGGGATGTTATAACGAAGTGCTGTTATAGAGAACATATATTATAACATAGTATGAAAATTGGTTCCATAAAGAACTTGTTTTTATAGTGAATGATTGTTACATAGCGATGTTATTACAGAGAGATCTGACCGTAATTTATTCAGGTCTGGTGCAAGTACCTACAAGGCGTAAAACTCAGCCATTTGCATGGCTAGTGGCAGGTTTTTGTGCACTTTTTTGGGTCATGGTAATAGTAGCTGGCCTAGCAATCCTCATCATCTATCTTGTCTTCCGCCCAAGAAATCCAAAGTTTGACATTACAAGTGCCACACTCAATGCAGCCTATCTTGACATGGGCTACCTCCTCAATGCAGATGTTACTATACTTGCAAACTTCACAAATCCAAACAAAAGAGGGAGAGTAGATTTCCATTATGCGATCTTGGATCTGTATCATGGTGGTAATCTTTTAGCTTCTAGTTACATGGACCCTTTTTCGACGATGAGCCACGAGTCGAGGTTTCAAGATGTTCATTTGGTGAGTAGCCAGGTTAGGCTACCTTTAGAACATAGCCAACAATTGAAGAAGGAAGTGGAGAGTGGAAGAGTGAAGTTTGAGGTGAAGGGATTGTTTAGAGCAAGGTCTAATTTAGGAAGTTTTCTTCAATATTCTTATTGGTTGTATAGCCAATGTACTATTGTGGTAACTAGCCCTCCAACTGGTGTCTTGATTGGCAGGAAGTGCGTCACAAAGCGCTAAGGGCTCGTTTGGTACGAGAGATAAGGGATAATTAATCCTGAGATTAAATTTAAGATGAGTTTATCTCGTGTTTTGGTTGGGATAAGATCGTGGTATAACTAATCCCGTCCCAGGATTGTAGTGTTTTTTTATCTCTATGGTAGGGTGGGATAACTAATTCCGAGATAATTAATCATGGGATAACTTGTTTCCCAACCAAACGACCCCTAAGAGTAAAGAGAGTATTTTGACTTCATGGAGTGTCTTCAGTTATTAACAGTGTTGCTCTTTCAGTCATGTTTTGATTTTTCAACTTTTTTTGTGGAAAAAGAAATGATGTTTAACATGTGATTTGGAACATTAATTACCTATTTTTCTTCTTTGTATTTGTATTTTGTTCAATACTGTTAGAGATTGTTGAATCATTTCATCCACAACACACTTAACTTAATTGGAGTAGTAAAGATTTAAGAGTCAATATTGGCATACAAACTAAATTTACATAGTTTTTGCCAGAAAAAATCTTAAGAACGTAAAGTAAAATTAGCAGGATAAAATTGCATTTCAATTATATTTCAGTAATACACAGTTTGTATGCTACAAATATGTAACCAAAACTGATTAAGAATGCATGTAATATATATCATTCTGTCTATTCCTCCCAAGTTATCTGCAAGCATTTGACACTGAAGTACATCTATGGCATTTGAACTACTTCCTTTATATAACTATTATACACATCTTCTAGTCACAAAACAGACTTCTTGTAGCATTGCATCTGGCAATATTGTCACTAAGCACCACCGGTGGAGTTACATGGCCGGGAGGGGGTTCAATTGAACTCCATTCATCGAAAAATTATACTGCACAAATAGGTTGTAAATAATTCTTTTTGATGTGTGTATAGATTGTTGAATTCCCTTGACACAAGGGAAATTTTTAGTGTAGCGGCAAAGGTGGCTCAAAAATTGTGTTAGGTAGCAGATTCGAACTCAGGTAAGCAAAGGCGGTCCATTCTCAGCAGCTGTCCGAGTATGTTCAGGATGACCATGGTGTCTTGTTTCATGATGACCATGGTGTCTTGTCATTTGAATATGATTAAAATGTGTTCTTTTCTTTGCATATGGAGCATCTCTCGCTGTGTAAAAGGAAAAAACACAGTGAGTGATTCATCTATGAGAAAGCACAATACAAAGAAAAAGATCTGATAGACTCGTCTAAGATCATTGTTTAAAGATACATGGCATATGTGAAATGAAAAATCTTACCAGCAATTCTTTGAGCGCGGAGGATATTCTGTCGCCTTTTCCACCAACATATCATGCAGATGGCGATAACTATAACAGCCGCGCATGCCCCTAAGCCAATGCCAATTTTGGCACCTAGAGTAAGATGCGGTCCACATGTCGGTAGTCCAGGAATACCACAAAGGCCTGCATTATCAGTAAAACTGAAAGCATCCACAGTAAGTAATAGCACCAATGAACAAAAATTTCACAGTTTGTTTTTCTGATCCTCAAGTAAATACAGCCATGAATTGTCATGTTAGTTTCAGCACATGCACCGAAGGTTTAATTCGCATCTCTACCTAGAGATGTACATAATCCTGACTGCAGTTATTACCTTACTTCCAAAGCTGAGATTAAGGAGATTGATATCAGTATATGCTAGTGGTGATTTGTCTGAACCAAGAAAATTGTTCAGACATCGGACTCCTGAGACGGATTTAAGTGGAGCGACATATATTCATATAGTCGACCCCAACTTGCTTTGGATTGAGGTAGACAAGTATCAAAAGCAGTATTGTCAAACAATTGATAACAGCCTGTGCACAACACGTTCCTAAGGAAAACAGCCAAATGTTAACACCCACACAAAATGGTGGTGAGGAAACCTTCATTCGCCGAGTCCTCTAAAAATTGAATGATGACCCTAAGCAGTATGTATTTTTGGCAACAAAAAGTTGGACAAACGAAAAACTACTTTAAATTAATAATAGTAAACAACTCCATGTACTATAACTTATGTTGCAATTTCTGAAGTATGATTCACTAAGAACAAGTCTTGTGCCAATAATGCGCAATTAGGGGAACATACTTGAAGGTAGCTCTGTGCAAGAGCCTTCCACCTAATGCTGTAGGAATTTTTCCAGAGAGCAAGTTGCCATTGAGATTCCTGTAATTAACCAATTAGTAACTAAAAGCTCGTTATTGACCAGTCTCATGTCCTTAACTAAGCTCATTGAAGTAACTTACAGTGTCTGTAATGAGGTCAACTGCCCAAGGCTTTCAGGTATCGACCCGTTGAAGAAATTGTACGAAAAATCCCTGTTGTGCAACTTTTGTTAGGTCATCACCAAGTGAAGATTTTTAATCACAGAAATAACCAAGGAACAGTATGCACATCCACTATCCCCCACGTACAAAAATGAAAATCACGAGCCCCCAACTGTTCTATTATAATATTCAAGGAGGAAATGAGATAGTATCGGGAATTCTTCATTCCCTTTTGTCAAGCTAAAATTATAATTTTCCAAAACCTAGGACGCTTTTCGAGGAGATTGGGAGAGGATTATAGCAAGGATATATTGTATGTCTAATATAATCAGAAAGTAGTTGGAAAAGCGTTATGTTTCCATCTTTCATAATCTATAATTCTGGCAGCAAAGAAATCTGAAACGAGTACGGAAAAGCACATAAGTCTCTGTAAGCTGTACTCACAATTTCTCCAGACTAGTTATTGTTCCAAGTGCTGAGGGAATAGGCCCCTGAATGCTGTTTCCACTCAGATTTCTATGAATTGCACACAAACAAATATAAGTCAGAAGATCATATTTGAGACGTCGGACGCTGCATATATACATGATGGAAGATCGCTAAGATTCATATTTATCATCAACTCCATTTAAAGTGGTAGAAGATCTTTGGCAGAAACATATCTTTCGTCCAAATAGTATATTGCCAGGAAAGCAGAACTCCCATATGTTTATACTTACATGCTCTGGAGATGGCGCAATCGAGAAACATCATCTGGTAAGAAACCATGTAAACCTTGGTCGTCCAGGCCACTGACCTTACAGGAAAAACAGTTTGAAAAAAGAAGAGTTATTTAAGTAGCAACGACATTCAAGGGATTTACATTGGGTAAAAGAAGACCACGTTAAGATACCAGAAACTTCATGAATATGGTCAAAAGCCAAGATTTAAGAAAGATAAATTGAGGGCACATATTAAGACAAAAGAGTAATAGCATGGAAGTGGAAAATATGTTCTCCAATAAAAAATCATTTTTCACAAGCTGAAATGAGCCAATCAAGCTTGTAAAAATATGCATTAGCACAGCGAGTAAGACACGATGTTTCAGAATTTTGCAAGCTGACTGCAACAAACACATGCAGCTCTTCCAATACATTCTTAAACAAAAGCCCGAAAGTACAGAAACAGATGCACACTAAAGCAGGAAAGTTGTCCCTGAAAATTTTGAATAACTAGGACATACAATATAAAGGAGTCTTGATAAAGCAAACATAATTGTGTGGTAATAGTGGGGACCAACAAAGATCAACAATTATAAAAAGGGCAGCCCGATGCACAAAGCATCCTGCGTGGGGTATGGAGAAGGGTAGCACCCTAAGGGGTGTGATGGCTTAAAAATATTTTTGTTACTCAAAAAGCTAATTATTTTTGTGTGTGCGATTTATTTACAGAAAAGATACGTAATTACATACATACAAAGAGGATGATAAACACTTCTCTATCTGCATTTTTCTTTTCTTTTGACTCCAATTAACGCAAATAAATTTAAGTCGACCTTGCATTTTTAACTAGTCCAAAAACCTGTCCAGTAAAACTTCTACATTTACGTGGGGAACATCAATAGAAGGAATATATGCCAGCGAAAGAGTGTTATATTTACAAATGTCTGTGTGCGCACGCGTCAAGTGTGTGTGTGTGTGCGCGCGCGCATGTCTCTCTGGAAAGAAAGGAACTTCTCTATCTAAGCTCAGGGTCAAGAACATACAGCCCATCGATGACCCATGTATTGCTAGTTCTATCGAACTGACAATCTACTCCACTCCATGGATGTTGTTGCGGAAAACATGGATCACCGTTCCACCCAAAACGAAGAGGAAGTCCAAGTGCAAGTTTCAGTGACTGCAAAGCCTTCACTGAAAAAGAAAAGAAAAGAAGTAAAATGAGAAAGTCACAAGCTGGACTAAGGAAAATATAAAGTGTATTCTGATATGAGAAACGTGTACAAACTTTTTATTTAGTCGTTTCTTTCCCAGTTTAAAGTCAGAAAACAAGCATTCAAGAAGTATAAGTGAAACATCTAGGTTTTACCTTCCTCTGGTGATGTTCTAGATTCAGCGGTTATAACCTCAAAAATCTCAATGGCATTAATGATGGCATGAGTTCCATTTGTGGGATGCAATGTGATAGTTAAAGTCCTGCCACTGACCGGAACGGTTGTGTTCAGTACGACAGCGCTGTTAATACCCCCGGCCATTCTCACAATGTCAACATCTTGAAATACAGTGTCTCCATTTATCGAGATGTCAACGACCCTCTGTCCCACATCTGTAACTGAAGGATCAATTTCTGCAAAGTGTAACCAGACGGAGTAGTTTTTGTTGGGGTCAACGTCTGTCGTGTATGTTAAATCTGGCTCATTGTCAGTACTAACAAGAGCAGTTTGGTAAAGAGCTTGTGGATAGAAGTTTGGCGCTACGGAAGCTGATTTTATGATGCTTTTAGTAGATATGGGCTTATCAGAATTCTGACCAAAGGTCATGATTGTACTCCAGAACCGATCACCACCCCAACGATCCCCATTGTAGTCAATGTCAAATTTTGAATTATGATCTCCACAGCTCAGTCTTTCGTTAGTTCTGAAGATTTTCCCTCGACCAAATCCAGGACCGGAATAGTATGCTTTGTCATCGACTTGGAGAATCTCAATCGCAAGTATAGCAGGATCTCCGTGACCCGTGCTGTGGAAGCAAAATGATGCAGTACCATTCTCAAGAAATACAAGAGTTTCAACAAATGCTCGTTCGTCGTCGTGATTACTCCAACCAGACGGCAAAGAATAAACCAAGGTCCCTTCAACAGAAACATCAAATAGAGGTTCGTTATCGAAACTTGGTTCTGCAACCAATCCAAAGTAGATCCTAACTGAATAGCGGCCGTAGGGCACGTTATTGATATTGTAACAATTTTCAGGACCCTCTGATAGAGGGAAATACCGTAAGGTATCGAGTGGAGGCGTGATGAAACTTGGGCGGGTTGCATTCTTAGCTATGCCGCCTGTATATCCGAAATCCTTATGCCAAAGGGTACTTGTAGGGGCAGTACGAACATCATTTCGAGCTCCACCGCTTATTCGCATTACATATGGTGCTGCAGTGAATAAACAAGATAGATAGTAAACAAAAGTGCAACTTGAAAGAGCCTAATCAATAATAAAGGAGCAGCCCTTATATTCTCATGTAACAGCACTGGCAATCAAGAGAACGGCAAAACAAGTGCAGTTATAACGGAAGCAAGAGAACCTCTTATAACGTATTATTCACTAATGTTACACCAATTTAATGCACCAAAAAACTTCATATGAGAAAAGCAAAGCTAGAGCTGCTCAATAAGAATGTGAAGACATCCCACTTATTTCTTTCCTCTTTAACACAAGATTCAAGATATTTCATCGACTTATGGAATGAAGAGATGAGAATCTTTGCGAATATACAAGATTATAGCAGCATGCTTGATCATCCATTCGAGCTAGACATGATGATTTTTCATCATTATGACTCTGCCAGCAGAGACGTATCCAGAATTTAAAATTTATTGGTTCAAAGTTTAAGGTTCTTAGCATTGAACTCATTGTATCTTTAATGTTATGGGTTCATCTACTGTTTGTTGCAATTTTAGTGAATTTTTATACATCATTTTATGCTCCACATTGTAAGCATTAGGTTCAAATGAACCCGGTGGCAATACTCTACATCAGCCTCTGTCTACCGCCCAATCAACTCCAATCCACTTAATCCCTCTTTCGTGGCTATATATATCTTTCTGTCCAAGGAATGGAAGTGGATTCTTGGGAAATGTTGAATCTAACATGGGCTTCTTCACAAGAAGAACTTCTCTGACTCTGCAAAATCATACTCAGACCCACTCACACTGCAATAGCCTCCCCTCGACTGAAAAATCGTCAGGGAAAAGGCAACCTAAAAAATATAAGAATCTTGCACTAGCTCAATAGATTTAAAAAGTTTACCCCTTTTCACTTTCTTGCATTTTATCCACGCCTAAATACAGACTACTTTAACTACCTTTAAGGATCACAATAGCCTAAATAGGAAAACAGCTCAGAAATCATTCAACAATCTTAAAAAAAACAAGTATATAAAATGGAAAAGGGGAAGAAAAGCACCTCTAGCTGTATTCAGGAAATTAGAACTACATTCATCTACTAAAAATATCAAATTCAAAGCGAGTCCATTCCAAAATCAAAAAGGATTTAAGCTATATACACTCAAAAGATTATTCACGCTATCACGTTAAACTATACTAGCAAGTCAATTACCTTTTTTCCATATTAGCAATTACTAATGTTTTCCATAGAATTACTTGCGATTACTTTTTATAAGTGACCTGATTGTATAAATATCTTTTGATTGTATAAATATCTTTTGCTTCATCAGTTCATAGAATTTAAACAACAACAACCAAAAAAAAAAAAAAAAAAA